ATTAGACTTTGTATAAAATCACTCTCCACCTAAGAGGGTTAATTTATGAGCGATGACCTTAACAGACTATGCTTCGTGGAATATCCGAACCCTTGAACTACCCTCATAAAAAAATTATAAGATTGTTGGGCGTTACCACTGAAGTAACCCCTTGGGATTATCTGATTCCATGTTAAAGCCATAATTGGTTAAGAATTATTTACCATACACCTGTCTAAACTACATGCAGTAGATTATTTTTTGGTGATTCTTTAATATATTTCAAAAAGACCCCGACATTTTCTACTAAATACTTTTCGATAGTAAATATTTTGGACTCTTATCATGCATAGAGAGGACATGAATCCACGACCTGATGCTACATTCCTCAACATCAGCATATAGCAAAGAATTTTGACAAGTATAATAATCTATAAGGCTCGGAAACTTTTGCATTGGAAATTAAAACGGACTGTGTTTAAGGAGTGCATGAATCTTTGCTATGTATCCATGGTTGATTGTAACAAAGGACACACTATGGTAATAGGAAAATAATAATAATAATAATAACAACAATGTCATTTGGAGTACATCAAACACGTACTCGAGAATAATTGTGTTGATATCGTTAAATTAACAGTAATTCTGAGATTATATCGAATTATCTGTCATCCTAACAACGTATGTCCATTATTAGGTCACTAATGTTTCGTTTGGTAAGAAAGATGAAAAGTAGGAAGAATGAAAAATAAGAGGGATACACTTTTTATTATTCAAAAATGAAAAGTATGAATGATACACTTTCTTTTATTTGTGTTTGGTTGGATAGATGAAAAATAAAAATGACTAATTTTTTTTTTCATTTTTTTTACTGGCTAAGATTAAGAGTGACAATAGAGTCGTGTCATGTCAAATTCGTGTTGAGTCATAAAATTATGAACTTTTATATTTCTTGTTCGTATGTCAGGTCATTTTCAAGTTCGTGTCATAAAATTCATGTCAAGTTCGAGTCGTGTCATTGTGTTGAGTCGAAATTTTTCCCCCCTCTAGTTAAAGTGAAAAAAGCTTCTTTATGGTCTAACATTCTTGCCAATACATTATCCTCATTTTGTTCCGGATTGTAATCTCTAATGAAAAATATAGCTCCATGAGCAAAAGCTCCTGTCATGATGAATCCCGCGATGTATTGGTGATGAGTATATAACGCAGCTTGAGTAGTAAAGTCTTGTGCGATAAATGCATAAGCAGGTAAAGAGTACATGTGTTGAGCTACCAAGGAAGTAATAACCCCTAAAGAAGCTAGAGCAAGGCCTAATTGAAAATGAATCGAATTATTGATTGTGTCATAAAGACCCTTATGCCCACGTCCCAATCCCCCCCCCGGAGGAATATGCGCATCTAAAAGATCTTTCATACTGTGCCCAATCCCGAAATTAGTTCTATACATATGACCAGCAATGAGAAAAATAAATGCAATAGCTAAATGATGATGAGCAATATCAGTCAGCCATAAACTTTGCGTTTGTGGATGGAATCCCCCGAGAAGGGTTAGAATGGCAGTTCCTGCTCCTTGGGAGGTACCAAATAAATGACTACTTGAATCCGGATTTTGAGCATAAAGATTCCACTGACCTGTAAAAAGCGGGCCTAACCCTTGGGGATGCGGTAATACATCTAAGAAATTATTCCATCGAACGTACTCCCCTCTGGATCCAGGAATAGCGACATGCACCAAATGCCCTGTCCAAGCCAAGGAACTTACGCCGAAGAGTCCTGACAAATGATGATTAAGACGAGATTCGGCATTTTTGAACCACGAAACGCTCGGTTTCCATTTTGGTTGTAAGTGTAACCAGCCTGCTATTAAGGATACGGCAGAAAGAAATAATAGAAAAAGAGCTCCAGTATAAAGATCTTCATTAGTGCGTAAACCGATTGTATACCACCACTGATAAACACCAGAATAAGCGATATTCACTGGGCCAAGAGCACCCCCTCGAGTAAAAGCTTCCACAGCCGGTTGACCAAAATGAGGATCCCAAATTGCATGAGCAATAGGTCTTACATGTAAAGGGTCCTGTACCCATGACTCAAAATTTCCTTGCCAAGCTACATGAAACAGATTTCCGGAAGTCCACAGAAAAATTATTGCTAATTGTCCAAAGTGAGAAGCAAAAATATTCTGATAAAGACGTTCCTCAGTAATATCATCATGACTTTCGAAATCATGTGCGGTAGCAATACCAAACCAAATACGACGAGTAGTGGGGTCCTGAGCTAAGCCTTGGCTAAACCTTGGAAATCTTAATGCCATAATGCCTTTCAAATCCTCCTAGCCATTATCCTACTGCAATAATTCTTGCTAAGAAGAATGCCCATGTTGTGGCAATTCCACCCAGAAGGTAATGGGTTACTCCTACAGCACGTCCTTGTATAATGCTCAAGGCTCTCGGCTGAGTAGCAGACGACTCTTACATAGAAAGGCAAGTATCCTGGCTAGATTTTCATGACTACCTTTCAATCTTCACCAAAATTGTGCTTATCTAAAGAATGGAATATTAACGTTATGTTTGGATGCCATATAGAGACACTTGCTTGTTTGTAGACGAGTGGAGTCTCGGCTCAGACAATTCTTGTAAACCTCTGCAATGACATCGGAATTCTTAGTTTTCACAATCCATCTTTATCTTCTGATTAACTTGCTGTTGACACGGGAGTTAAATTGAGTTATCAAGCACAAGTATAATAAATCAGATGATTAAATACATGTTCTGATCCTTGAGCTAAAGGGTGGCTGTTACATTTGATAATTTATCTTATAGTTTATCTAGAAAAACCCCTTAGAAAAATCTTATGTTCTGCCTAGAAAATCTCATAACTTCAAACTCTCAAAGTTTCCAATTACTTGGTCTCTATCACTGCTTACTTTGAAACACTAATCATAATTCCCTGTGGATTCGACTCTAGACTTAACCGGATTATTACTACAACTTGACTGCCTGCACTTGGGTGTACACATTTCAGATCAAGTCAAGTTTTTGGCACCGTTGTTAGGGAACCATAAATGGTGTTTTAAGGTAAAAGGTAAGAAGATCTTCCTTTTTGTAAATATTATTTCTTTGATTCATTGTGTATAATTTATTTTTTTTTATGTCTGTGGACAATCCTGACTTTCAAAATTTGCCAACAGAATTTATTGGATTTGTGAATCAGTCTGAACCATCTTCACCTAGATTAGTAGTAGACCTTCTTGATAATAATATGGCAAATAATGAGAGAAAAGGAGAAGTTCTTGTGAGAGAGGGGAAAGTGCCTAACATTCGAACTCTGCGGGATTACTTAAATCCCACAAGAAATAATGTCTCATATTGTTTTGTCTTTACTGAAAATGCACCTTTCTTTACTGTGAAAATGGGGACAATTCAACTACTCCCTCAATTTCATGGACTCGAAACAGAAAAAAACTCATATCTGCACATAAAAGAGTTTGAGGAAGTATGTCGAACGTTTAAGACAATTTTGAGCTGGCCAAAATGACACTTTTTTCATTTTCTCTAAAGGATAAAGCTAAACAATTACTAAATTCTTTAAAAGCTCTTTCAATACCTGACTGGCGAGCACTATAGAATGAATTTTTCAAAAAAATTTTCCTCTACACAACACTAATGAACTGAAAAGGCAAATCATGAAGTTTTTGGTCAAAGAAGGAGAAAACCTTTTACAAAAGTTGGGAGAGATTCAATGATCTGCTCCAGTCCTGCCCACACCATGCTTTTGAGAATTGGACTTTGGTAGGATTCTTTTATGACTCCTTGCCCACTAGACTACGTCAGTTTGTCAAAATGATGGCTCAAGGAGAGTTTATGGGTAAGAGTCTGAAGGAGACATTCAATTTTTTTGACACCATATCTGTTAGTTCTCAGATATGGGACTCAGCCTCCTCTACCATTGTTGAAGACAAACCATCTACTTCCCAAGGGGGTAAGTGTGTCTTGAGAGATGATGATAACCTAAGAGCAAAAACGTTTACCTTATCTCGAAAGCTCGAAGTTTAAGAGATGAAAAAGGTTCATTAAGTTGATGTTGGCCCTCGCACAGAACAAGTGTGTGGAATTTGTACGCTAATAGGACACCCTACTGGGGAGTGTCCTACCATTCCAGCATTCAAAGAGATCTTGTTGGAGCAAACAAATGTCATTTTCAACTTCAACAAGCTTTACTCTAATCCCTACTCTGAAACATACAATTCAAGGTGGCGAAACCATCCAAACTTTAGTTGAAGGAACACACAACCCATTCATATGAACCAACCACAAGGTTGACACCCACCACCTCAAGGACCTCCCACATATCAACCATACCAACCACCACAAAAGAGGAGCCTTGAGGATATCCTGAATAGTTCATGCAAAGCCAAATGAACTACAACAATAGTTTCACTCAGGCTTTTATTGATTTCAAAGCCTAGACCACTCAATCTTTTGAGGATCTTAAAAATCACATCCAAAAGTTGACCCAATCCATGACCACAGATGAGAAGGGCAAATTTCCTGCCCAACCAAAACAACCGCAAGGCCAATTCCATGGGGGAAATTTCAATCATGAAAAACTCACAAGACCAAGACCAAGTTGTTACTACACTAAGAAGTGGCAGAGTGATTAACAAGACCATGAGAGACATGCTAATTCCTAAGCCAAAACCAAAGTCAGTCCCAATCAATGCACCAGTAGAGCCTGAACTTGTGATTGAAGAAGAGCCCAAGCCTATGATTGAACAAGAACCAAAACCATCAAAGAAAAAGGAACCTTTGTGTCATATTTTTGCTCCTTTTCCTTGTAGACTCAAAACTATACAAAAGTTGAATAACCAGCCAGAAATTTATGAGCTTTTTAAGCAAGTAAAGATCAACATCCCACTTCTGGATGAAATCAAACAAGTTCTGTCTTATGCCAAGTTTCTGAAAGACTTGTGCACAATCAAGAGTGGCTAGAATGTCCAAAAAAGAGTCCTTTTGACAGAACAAGCTAGTGCCTTACTTTA